AAAAAAAGAAAAAAAAAAAGATGAGAGATTATTCTAGAAGCATTTTTTGAGTTTAAAGCAAGGCAAATAAGTTCTATCGTGAGCGGTTTTTCGAGATGAATACGAATATTATGTTTGCTGAAAATGCCTAATTAGGTCAGTAATTAAGGTCAAAGGTCAATGAGCGCAAAATGTATTTTTTTTCGCAAATATGTTCTATTGGAAATTCTCCATACAAATATATAAAAGGGTTTTCAATATATTGAAGAATAAACTACACAGATCAACCAAAATTCAATTTTAATGGAAAACATGAAGAAGATTTGAGTTTGATGGTGAATATCTCCTTAACGGTAAGACAGGTCTACGTTCCCTTTGTTTTCAAGTAGTATTAAGTGCAGAAAAGTAGGATTTTTTTTTTTTCATTATTTTGGTTTGGAATTCTGTGGTCATTTTTGAAACCATTTATGGTCCATAGTTTTCATAATTAGACGTAGCTTTAAGAGAAGTTAAATGAGTGCAAATTTTTTTTTGGGGTATATATATATATTTTAACAAAAATTGCTTTATTTGACATTCTTTATACAAAAACGCAACACATTTTTCAATATTTTGAAGGATAAAGTCTACAAATGTCTTCAAAATTTGAAAATCAAAGGAAAACCTGAAGCAGATTTGAGCTTTATTGTTGAATATCTCCCAGGATCAGGTGTTTGACATCATTCAGTTTCTACGCCATGTTCATCCAAAGTCTTCCTTCACGTGCTGCCATCTATCTGAAGTTGTTCTAATCTCATTAGCCTTCTATTATCAGCCTCCTCCCATACCAAGTGCCCTTTGTTTTGCCGTCATGTTGCTTGTTCAAACACCTTTTATCCCATTCTGAGAAACCAGGAAAATACATTTAAAGCAGTGCAGCTGCACCATCGGCTGCATAACCAAGAGCTGCACATGTCGGAAGTGGGGAGACCAGCCATGTACTAATGCCTGTAAGTGCAGTGAGAGTGATACACCTTGCAGAAATAGGGCTAAGTACAAGTGAACTCTGATGCCAACATGCTTGGTAAGATCATTTGGGCCATAAATTAGTTCTTAAAGTCTTACGTCTCCAATTCAGAGAACGAAAATAACCAGATGGGGGCATTGGTAGGGGGCATGGCTTAGGAATTGGGACATGCCACAGGGTGTTATTTCTTCAAACAATAGGGTCTGCAGCTTTCTTTGCCAAATGCCAAGAATTAGTTTCTGGTCTGAAAAAACAAACTATTTTTCATTCATAATTCCGTGATCGTTACAAACTGTAAATTTGCGTTCATTAACCTTTCCTCAATTATACTGCTAATTAAGGAAACTTTGGAATGCAAATGGTCTTAAAGATGGTCTCTGGTGTGAAAGAGCCTCACTGCATTTTTTAACCGCATAAAAGAAAAGGAATGCAGCCCAGTGACATAATATCAAAAGTCTTGCCGTTAAGGAGATATTCGTCTTAAAATCTCAAATCTGCTTCAGGTTTTCTTTTAATTTGGAAATTTTGATGACCTATGTAGAGTTTATTTTTCAAAATATTGAAAAAATTGTTGCACAGAGGAGTTAAGAATAAGTGATGCATTTCTTAAAAATACGCATTAAAAAAAATGTACCCATTGACCTTTCCTTAATTATACGACTAATTAATAAAGCTTTGGAATATGAAGGCTTTCAAAATTGTTCTACGATTCCATGACTTCAAACTGATGTAAAAGAGCTTATTTTACTACACTTTTTAATGCTTGAAATAAAAGGAACGCGGCCGTCACAAAATATTAAGGAGATATTCGCCATAAAAGTTCAAATCTCCTTCAGGTTTCCCTTTACTTTTGAAATTTTGATGACCTGTGTAAAAATCCTTTCCATATATGCATGAAGAATGCCCAATAAAGCATTTTTGCGCAAAGAAAATGATTTTGCACTCATTGAAATTTGACCTTGATTACTGACCTAATTAGGCATTTTCAGCCTCGGCAAACAACATATTCGTGTTCCGTACGAAAACCCGCTCCAGATAGACCTATTTCCCCATTTTTACTCAAAGATTCACATTTTGAGAAAACATGACAAGTCTATAGACGATGCTATGCTACGTAGTTATTTTTTCACACTATTTTATTTTCTTTCTTCCTTTTCTTCTCCGTTTCTTTTCCTCGTTCCTCTTTATTCTTAATTTTTCCTCGATTTTTTTCTTGCCTTTTTCTCATCTCTTCTTCCTACTGAAAAAAAATCTGTTATATTCTAAATTCTTTAATGAATTATAGGAATCATATATCAAATCAAATAATGATCCTAATAATATTAATAACATAATGGCAGCAACAATAACACCGATAATGGTGATAATAATGATAATGGTAGTAAAAGTAATGGTGATGGTGATAAAAACAATAGCAAAACATAAGTAATAATAACAGCATTCGATAAAAAAGGATAGTAGTAGATGTAGTACTAATTGTAATAGTAGTAGCAACAGTAGGTTTTTAGAGCAGCAGTAAATGTAAACATGAGAATATCACACAATACTTACAAATACAACTTTTTACGCTAAAGATCCGATTTGATCAGCTTGGGCTTCTGATAAAAAAAAAAAAAAAAAAAAAAAATCCGTTTACATGTTCCCAGAGAAATCGTCAGATGTGAAATTCAGGCTTAGAAAAAATACCATATATCTATTTTTTTTTTTTTATAAGCCATAAAAGATAATGTGAGTATTTGCTTCTTCAATAGACAATATAATAAACGTGTACAAAATAAGTAGAAAGATATAGATGCACAGGGAGTTTGAAGCTTACCGCCAATATTGTAAGAGGCTGGTTCGTAACTGCTGAACCGCTCAGGCACTAACATCTCACTGTCATTCGTTCCTTTCTCTTTACATTCGAATACATAAGCTACAGTCATTTCCTCTTAATTATCATCTTGGAAAATTGAACAGGTGGGACGTGGAAGGCAGCTGGGTTCAGCACCTGGGGAATCCCCTTCTCTTGGAGTACGAGTTGGGGGCCATAACCATCCTCCCGCGGTCTGCTGCGGGGGACGACACCGTTCTCTGGGTGAGTTTTGGTGGGGTCGTTGTTGGAAGGGGCAGTGGACTGAGTGCAAATAATAAGCTTAGTATATAGTGTATGTTTCCATTGGTCAAAATGTTATCAACACACAAGTTCGTCTATAAATCTCGAAAAAAATAGTTACGGAAAACTTTTGAGCAAACTTTAATTTCATTCTTCATTTATTAAATTCCAAGGAAGGTGAAAACAAGATTACCGAAAACACTTCCTTTACTATGCAAATTCTGGGGATCCCCAGGTTCGCATTCCTTTGGTGCGTCGCGTTGGTTACGCTGTGATCAGCATCTATCTGCCGTCGCTGACGATGCTCGTCATCGGTTACCTGACACTCTTCTTCCTTTACGACAACGACAACTTCGAGGTCCGTGTCATGACAGCGCTCACGACCCTTCTGGTGATGGCTACGCTCTTCACGCAGGTTCGCCAGAGTTGGAACTCATGATTACTCTCAGAACTCGTGGTTCATGACTGGTGACGTGCATTAAAAGTTGTGTCAGCTGACTGTTGAGAATGTACTGGGGGGACATGTTTTCGTGTTTTTTTTTCAGAGTTGAATCAATATAATGCCTCACTTTGACCACACAGTGACACACATTATCGGACGATTTATAGACGAGGACAAACGTTTCTTTCAGGTTTCGTCTTCACTTCCCAAGACCTCCTACTTCAAACTAGTGGACGTGTGGCTCCTCTTCTGCATCTTCGCCACCTTCCTCATCATCGTGTTCCACATCATCATCGACCTGATCCTTAACGAAGAGAAGAACAGCACGAAAGGACTCCCGGGCCACATGATCCTAGTTGGACGAAGCGCGGTGGCCAAGGACCATACGAACGAAGGGCCGGCATTCCGAGCGTGGCCGACGGAGGGCTCGAGGACGCCGTCGCCCCGCTTGCCCGGGTGGCGTCAGAGGGTCACCGTGAAGGGCGTCGAGAGATTCGCTCGCTGGTTCATGGCCGCCGTGTTCCTCGTGTTCAATGTGTTCTACTGGATGACGGCTTATAAGCTGGTCTAGGGAAGGAACTTTAGCCCGCGATCAGACACTCAAAATGTGCAGAGGCAGGTAGAAAGGGATAGTGCAAGTTGGTGTCTGTCATGCTCTTTTAGTGAGTGCGTTTATGAAGTAGGTTTATGTCATTTTAGGATAATAAATTGCTAATAAGGTCAACGTGATATAAGCAAGAGTGCTGATATCTCAAACATATAAATAACGCATAAAAAACTGCTGGAAACTACCGCTACCATTTCGTACATTTAATCGGAATATCCGTGCATGTCCAGACATCTATCATGCAGCTTTCTGATCACATGCTTAGACTTTTGCTACACCTCAACGGGAAAATTATATGAGCGAATGGAATCTCAAGTTCAACCAAGAATTTATTGCACGTTGTCTTTATGTGACTTTAATCAATATATACAAGCACACACACACACACATATATATGTGTGTGTGTGTGTGTGTGTGTGTGTGTGTGTGTGTGTGTGTGTGTGTGTGTGTGTGTGTGTGTGTGTGTGTGTGTGCATATATATATATATATATATATACATATATATATATATATATATATATATATATATATATAATATACAACAATATAATATATATATATATATATATATATATATATAATATATATATATATATATATATTATATATATATATATATATATATTTATATATATATATATATATATATATATATATATATATATATATATATATATATATATATATATATATATATATATATAATATATATATATATATATATCATATATATATGTATATATATATATATATATATATATATATATATGTATATATATATATATATATATATATATATTATATATATATATATATATATTATATATATATATATATATATATATATATATATATATATATACATTATAT